GAGAGGGGGGGGGGAGAAGATAAAAGACATCTTTTCAACAAATTAGGTGAGTTGCTGAAGACACCATAGTTACTAATAAAGGCAAATCCACTTTGTGTTCTTCTACAACGTGCTCTTTGTGCTTGAAGCTTAGAAAGAAACGCTAATGTAACCGTTGAGGCCTCTTGGATAAGATGGAATGATAAGAGGAGTATAGAGTAGCCAACTGAAGTGAATATGAAAAAAAGCAAGTGGAATATGAAATAGCGTCAACCAGAAGAGGTTGTTACTTTGACGATATCAGTAGAGCGAAAAGGATCGTAGATAAAGGTTCTTTGGAAGTTATTCAATCTACTTGTGGGAGCGGTTTTTTTGAGCGAAGTGTCGAGTTGAGAAAGTCCTTTCGATGTATAATTATTTCTTTAATAACCCTTGAGTTTGAAACACGCACTTGAGAATAATTAACGCATCTCTTGGCTGTTTCGTGTGAAAGAAACGGATAAATCTAGTGTCGCATGATACATGAAAGGTAAGAATTTGAAGCATCTTGTTAAAATATTCGAGGAGAGGTTATATTTTTGTTATGATTTAGTTTAGTTCTCTTAACATACTTTTCCCTCGTCTACGATGTAGAGACTGCTAAGTGGACTTCTGTAAGATAGAGCTTAACATTACACCGAGAATAACTTGTCCTTACAAGTCAGGTTAACCGAAGGAAATGATTTCCTTTACCTGACACTTCATGCTGGAGTCTTGTGCACAGGTAACAATGCGAATGTGCTAAAAGACCTAGCAGAACAATATTTCTCAAGAAATAGATAGATAGATAGATAGATAGATAGATAGATAGATAGATAGATAGATAGATAGATAGATAGATAGATAGATAGATAGATTGATAGATAGATAGATAGATAGATAGCCGATCTAACTCGTTGTGATAATATAACCCGATTTTAACAAAACTTTTCATTGCCCTCCAAAATGTCATATCAACCTAAACGAAATGATTCTTATTCTCTTAGTTTTACTGTCTCGGACGCTTAGCAGTGTTATCACGTCATCGCCCGCCTTCCATCGTCTTCAATTTTGTGGCCGAACGGCTTTAAGGCTAAGAATATTAAACCCATTGATTTTTTATTCGCGTCCTCGCTGCTCTCAGCCCCAGAACGACTGTGGGGTTAATCCGATGAAGAGACACTTCGTGCGAACTGGTCAGGCTGGCGGAGACCAGCTTACGCCGTGAGGGGTGTACGTTTTCAGAGGGTGCTACGCTGGGCCGGGCATCGTGGGATCTCTTTCGGGGCTTGGCACCAGTTGGGCGGTGGGTTGGAGGGGGTGAGTGGGTGTGTTGGGGGGAGGGAGGGATGGATTAACAGGGATTTGGTGATTTGTTTGTCAATGGAGATGCTGGGCGTGGGTTGTCTGTTAGGGTTCAATCGAAGTCTGGTTTGGGAGGGGGGGGGGGGGGGGGTTGGGGATGAATGGAGAGCAGTGGTTTAAGAAAAACCAAAAACGATTACAGTAACGATGTTTTGATTAGGGAGTTACGTCGGGTTTTGTTTTAAATTTGCAATTTTGATTTTAATTGAATGTGTTTTACGTCCCCATCGACAAAATTTAGATTATTTAGGATAGGGCTGCTACTCCCACCCTGCCAGCCGCTGTCAACTAAGAGGAGGGATACAGCTCAGCAGACAAGCAGAAATAATAATATGTAGGCCTACTTGAAAAAAAGCAACAACAAAAAAACACAAACCTATTCAGGAATTGAACGAGCGTCTTCTGAATGCAGCGCTGGGAAGCTTAACTACTACACCGCAGAGAAGCTGGTTTTAGATGTGTGATTAAATTGGCTCCTCAATGGATTATCATTTCTGTTTCAATTTTCATACACGGTGCACTAAACACGAAAGAGTCAAGACACACTTTCAAAACATACGTGGTATTAGAAATATTGCTTTGTAATAAGATGGTTTAAGATTACACGTAATGTGCTTACAATGTCATTTTCGTGTTTATAGTAAAAATAAGCAACACGTAAAAAAACCCCAAAGTATAATTATTAACTTTGATAACATGTAAACTAGCCCAAGAGGACTTTTCACTTGAGCCCAAAACTGACAGAACAATCTAAAATCCATTAAAGCTAAATAAAACGCTGTAGGATAAAGCAATTTTGCACTAATGTGTTAGCGCATGGTGTACACGTATCTACTCAATAAATCCCTTCTCTATCTTTGCCTTTTTAAATCAAATCTATTCTACAGTGTTCCCTCTGCTTTTGTGCCCCCAACAAACAAAAAAACAAACAAACAAACAAACAAACAAGCAAACAAACAAATGAACAAACAAATAAACAAACAAAATAAAAACAAGCAAACAAACAAACAAAAAATAACAAAATAAAAATTCAAATCTTTCTACACTTTGGAACTTACAGTTCTTGAAAATGCTTGCTTCAAGTCACGACTATATTTTCCTTCATCCTCCACCCCCAAAGTACTCATTACAAGCCCTTATGACATCACTCTTTCTGATTTATTTAAGAAATACTTTTTACACTTTTTCTTCAAGGTTAGTCTATATCAGTACAAATTTTCACAAATTTTATAAAAGAAGATCACACTATGTCTTGAATTTTGGTGGGATTACTCACATGTGTGTGTGTTTTTTTAATTCGTCGATATTTTAGGCAAAACCTAGACCTGGTGTTTCCTTTCCCAACCGAGAGTTATACATTTAAAGTATTTCTTTCCATTTTTCTCAAGCAAAGACAACTCCAAATCATAATCATATTTCAATATTACTCCCTAAAAATGTGCTCCCTTCGGTAAAAGAAAAAAAGAGACCCACTTTTTCCACCCAGTTCCTGTTCCATTGAGGACATAAAGTACCGCCTTCAACTCTCAGCCGAAGCCATTCTTCATTACTGTTTTCATTTGTTAATTAACATTCTAATGTTCTAATCTTAAACATTTTGAAACTAATCATTAATAGAAGCATATGAAACACGTTGTGTCCCTGTAAGTATTTATGTTGAGAAACACATTTCATTTTCAATATTATTTTGACTGGCTTGAGGTTCCCAGAAACACTTAATAAAAATCAGGTAACGAGGCTTGCTATAACACACTATTTTTTCCGTTATTCTTTTCAGGTTTGGTTCCAGAACCGACGAGCCAAATGGAGGAAGCGAGAGAAAGCTTTGGGACGCGAGAGCCCCACCTTTATTGGAGGTGAGCCGAGCCCAACTCTCAGCGACATGGTCAGTATGGGCAGACCCTTCGGCCTTCAGCCTCACTTGGACTCTTTCTGGGGGAGCCGGTTCCCTAACCTGACGGGCGTGCACCCCATGATGGCGCTCACACACCCCGGCCTCACCGCCGCCCAAGCTGCCGTGGCGTACAACACAGGACGCTCGCCGTTCGGAGGTCTCATCCCAGGCTACGTTCTCGCAACGTCCAACGGGCTGAGCAACGGGCTGCCGAGCCCGGGAACAATGGCGGCTGTTATGCCCCCTTTCGGTAACCTACCTCCGGGTATGTCCCCGAGACTTCCTACGTCACACCCACCTCCACATCACATGTTTGACTCCGCGGAGCTCCACAGTGGCGCCAGTCACAGGTCCAGCAACTCACCCCCAAGCGTCAGTTCCTCCAGCGTAGAGTCGCTCAGAATGAAGGCCAAAGAACACTCCGCCGAGACCGCTGCGGCAGCGGTAAATCTGGCGTCTCTCAAATTCCAAGAGCATAATGGTGTGGCTGTCAGCATTGCGACATAGACCAATTATTGCATTCTTTCCTTTAACCCTTATGAGCTTAAAGTAACATACTGTGTTCTGGTACATTAGCTTTGGTTATGCTTGTTGCACGTTCTATATTTCTTTCTGTTTTAAAGCTGGGACAGTGACAAGTTTGGCCTGTCTCAAGTTTTAACAATACGATGCCAGTCAGTTAGGTATCATAGATAAACCTTGAGGCCATATTCATAATCTATTGCGTTCAATATTTTGGTTAAGCTCCAAGATGTACAGCAAACTGTCGGTATTTTGACACTAATAATCTTTTGACAAAAAAAGCCCTCCTGCTTTTTTTACATTAAGAAGACAGGTATCCCTCTCTTTTAAAATGAGGACTAGATTAGAGTCCTTCAAGATTATAAAAATTGTTGACATTGTCAATAGACAAAAGAGTTTGTGGATTGTGGATATGGCTCCAGTGTTTCGTGCTTAGAAACATTGACATCACATTATGCTATGCTGCGCTGACGCTCATGCTATGTCTGTTTGTACTGTGCTGGTTATGGAACTCCTAACCTTTAACAATAACGGCTCATCTATAGTTTTACCAAGTCTCAAATACAGCGGGGCATTGTAGGCATGGCGAGATATACTATTGACACTGAGGTACAACTGAAACTGTCCACGACGGTAACAAATTGTCGTGGAGCAACATGGCTATCTTACTTAGTTGGACTTCTTGGACTGTGTCACTATGATATAAAAACATAAGGTAACCATGTGTGTTTCATTCTAGTCTCATTTTTTAAGTTTCTTTTATCGTCCCGAAGGCCACCTTCCCCTGACCAATCAATAAGACAGCGCAGTGGACGTTTAGTTTTAGCAAGTGTTTTACGGCACTTGAAACAGAAAAAGGTCATATATAAGTGCCGAGGATTAGAGGTGTTACAAGAGAGTAACAAACACAAAAAAGGAGGTGGAAAGATAAGGACGATAGATGTCTGAGAGGGAAGAAGAAGCAGACCACCCATAGACAGTAGACGACTGGGCGACAACATTATTAATTTGGTTCAGAACATAGGTAGTCTGCAGAGTTAATTTTAAAAGCAATACTACTCTCGAGCTTTCAATGGTGATAACTAATCCCGATTCACTGGCTCTGAAAGCAATAATACTTTGTCTTTGTTTCAAAGGAAGGGTCAAACTCGATCTAGAGTCTCAGTAACACCAGCCATTACATTTTCTCTTTAGGTGTAATGGAGTTTAAGGTTTCGAAGAAACCAAAATAAGAAAGAGGGTCATACGCTTGAATAAGCAGAAATACATTCCCAAACGTAAGGGTAGGCAGTGTTCGATATAGGTATTTTTTTCTATTTCGTCTTTCTGTTTATAAAGATTTTAAGGCTAAGACAAAAAGAATGATATGAATATATAATATCATGAACGTGTTGGAGACAGGTTGTTGACCTCAGATGTGAGCGAGGTGACCACCGTCGATTGACCTTGCCAGAGGGAGTCGCTTTGCTCTGTTTTGACAAAATATAAGCATATCCGAATGAAGTGCAATGATTAGTCATCAACTTTGCTCAAGGAGCATAATTGTGCTTCTAATGTTCCGTTCTTCCTTTTAATATCCTCCAAAGAAGTTTTAAAAAATACCCCCCCCCCTCACAACAAACAAACAAACAAACAAACAAAAAAACAAAAAAAACAAAAACAAACAAACAAACAAACAATCCAAACAAACAAACAAAAAAACTTGAAACACTAAAATAAGAAATATAGAAGGAAGGTCTCTTCTCATATCAGTAGTTTGTTGGTAATTTTGATAGGACAGTTGATATTGTGTTATTGTATTGATTTGTGATAATTAGTTGGTACTACGTCCGTATTCAAGGAGCGGAAAAGTTGTGTACGTTTTAAGTGATTTAATTCTATGGTTTGTGTGTTATAAAAGTTGCTTGGTTAAGATGGGTGAATTTTGTTTTCTTTGGTGCCAAATTGATACTTTTCCACATATCTAGTGATGAGTATGTTTTTCGCCACATCTAAAGGTTAAGATCGTATTACGAATTGCCTGATTTGTAAAAAAATATCTTAGAAATCATTTGTTAGCAGAAGCGACAACGCTCTTCAAAAGACACTTGGTTATGGCGACGATGACAATGGCGACGACAATTTCTGCTCATCATCATCATCATCATCATCATCATCATCATCATCATCATCATCATCATCTTCATGTGTGGGTATTCATCATTGTCTCTATGGTGGCTAGAACTATGTTTTGATTGTGAAATACAGTACAGTAGTGACATTGATGTTTTCAAAATTAAAAGAAAGTATCGTTACACACTTCTGCTTTCTCATTTTTTTGTCGTGAAAATATGGTCGCTTTTAAGGACAAGCGGGCTAACCCAGAATTAGAAGGCTTCCAGAAATCTTGACCTACACCAAAAGTGGGCATTGCCCTACCTATAGGAGAACTTTGGTTTCTTTGGTGTGTATATTTGTTAGGTTATAGAGAAAACTCTCTTGGTCTTTTAAAGAAACTGAGCAAGAGAAAAAAACTAACTTCGATTTTTCTCAAAATAGCATTTTTCGGGATAGCCCACTTGCGCTTAAAAGCGGGCATATATTTTTATTGATACATAAAAGATCGTTTCAACTTTGCTACCTTAGAACGACAGAGTTCCGTTTGACATTTATGAACGTTTTGAGTTACTAAGACCATGAGGTCAGAAAGCACAAGCTCTGCATTGACATGCTCTATCAAAATCGCAAGAATGTTCGGAGTCGTTATCAAAATATTAAAAGTAATAAAAGAATTTTCTTCGAAAAAACTTTACATATTGCGAAACTAAAAAATTTGTCATCAAATTTCTCAAAACTAGATCTAGGTACTGAGCAGATAGAAGGTTGTAATTCTGAGGTAGTGATGTGTCCTCTATAGTGCCTCCTATGCTGTCAACTGATGGTGATTTAACTCTGAAAGGACGTAGCGGACACGCCTGCACATCGTAATAGCGAGCTAGCGTAATACCAATGATAGTACATAACAAGAGAGTTCACTCCTCTCTTTGAGCAAATTAAAAAAACGTCCTCAAAATCCGGCAGCACCCTCTTCGGAAAAGCGCACCCTTTGCTAACAGAGTTACCCGACTTGTGAGAAAAAAATCAAAGTGAAACTAACAAATTTTTCAATAAATTAGAAATCAAATTTCGAGATAACGCTTTTTTGAAATGGTTACGCTGACAAAATAAAAACTCTTCCGGTGGAAGAGGCGACTGTTTTCTTCGTTAAATTTGACTTTAGAATGAGAGGCGAGAGGTCATTTAGATAAAATTTAAAAAACCCGCTAAAACTCCACACTGAACGAACCCGAACAGCTGATGAACAGCAGTCGATCTGCGCACGCAACGGGGTGCTATTCCTGTTCTTCTTCTGGAGAAACGAAAGAGAGCTTCAAAGACTGCAGCGCCATCTGAATCAATGAGCGGACTTTCGCGGACACTTCTTTTGGCTGAGTGAACTATCTTGTTATATGCTATTGGTAATACTTAACACCGAAACAGCAAGCATTTCGGACATTGAAATAGCGACTTTTAAAAATGTCATTAAAAAACAACTATATTTCTTTGTTACAGGTAAAAGTAGTTGGTATCGCTCAGTATCGACGAGTATTTTCATTGACGTATCGAGCATCGGCCAGACTCTTAGACAGAATTCTTTTTCATCTAGGACTAGGTAAAATAAATTCGGATTACCTTCAGACAAAAGGCAATGTTGCGGCAAATTTCGAACCCATCAAGCACAAAACTGAAAGATGAATTATATTATGTTTCTCAGTATTCATGCTAAATCTGCCTTGTTAGGTTTCATATATAGAACACAGAAAGGAAACATGTTTATGAATAATATAGTTGTGTTTCTTTTAAAAGTGCAGAAAAGCAGTGGGTCTTCAAGAGTTGCCGAATTACAAGAATGCGCATTCACAGCTACATTAAGTTAAGGGTATCTTAGTCTCTTAGTCGAGCGACAAGATGTTGCGGTGGTATGCAGTCGAAACATTGTTGATTCCCTGCTCTGAGGGTTGGAATTTGAATACGCCAGAAAGATATTTTCAATTCGATATCAAATTCAACAACAACAACAGCAACAGCAACAGCAACAACAACAACAACAACAACAACAACAACAACAACAACAACACCAATAACAACAGTGGACTGCTTTGTTTCATGCCGGAAAACGGTGTTATGAACGCCGGATCAAATTTCCAGAGGCTGTTTGGAATGAGTTGTAGTATACGGGGTGCCCCTAGGAGGATCGGCAAACTGATCGCCAACCGATCGCCCGACTCATCACCTAAAAACAAATGCGGTTTTTTTGTGTGCGACGAGTCGGGCGACCGGTCTGTGCCATGATAGCCGCTTTGCGCCCTTAACATGGCTAGCCGAACCGAACCGATCGTGCCAATAGCAAATGGCCAATGTGCACCTCGTACAAGGCGGCTCTCAATCCTCCCGGCTCGACCCAATAAGAGAAAAACGGTGGATTCGGTGGTCCTATCTTTAAATGATCGCATAACGTTTACAGGAGTGGTAAACCTAAACCATTGGAACCAAAGACAAAATAAGACAAACGCACAAAATGCAATGTACGCTATCCCAACTGTTTCACTTTGAACCCCCCTCCCCCCCCCAAAAAAAAAAATAATTAAAAAATGAAAACGATTAAAAAAAAATTCCTTTTAGTAAATTATGTACAAAAGTTTTCAAAATGATTTTAAAAAAAAATGAATATAGTTAAATCAAACCGGAGAAACACCAGTGTCTACACACGTTATATAGTCTATTTAAGTGCATCACTACGTGTATATAATGCCCCTACTTGTCAAGACCAACAGCTCCAGTTCATGGGGTTGGGGGTTGGGGGGTGGGGGGGGGGGGGGGTTGAGATGGAGAATCGAACCTAAAAAAATCAATCTTGTGAATAAATCAAATTCGTTTTCAAGGGAATCGAACTCAGAGCTCCTGCCCCCGAGGCGAACAGCCTGCTCCTGACACAACCGACCGAGTTCTTTTTTAAAAGTGTATCTCCCTATCATTTTCTGAACTCCCTAAAAGACCCCCTTCTCCTCAGTCGGAGAGATCAAACTTTGATTCAAAGTTGGCATTGACCAAAGAAATAGCATTAAGAACAACCCTCTTTTGCTTTTTGAGTGGCAATTACAGCATAGAGAAAACAGGGGCGTAAGTCTTTACCTTCTGTTCCTGTGGCTCTGCTCTGACTGAATTTCTGTTGTGGTCCTACCCCTTGCGAAAAAAGAAACCGCTTCAGGGCAGGCTGTTCAATTGCCTAAAGCCTGGAGAGACAATTTTTTTAGAAGAGAGTAATAAGACAGTGTTTTATTTCTTATTCAAATTGCATCTGGGTTATGTAACATTTCTGATTTTTAAAAAAATTCAACATTTAGAATATGAATTGCAACAAAATATTTTATTGAGCACATGCACCGAAACTGCAATTTTGAAAAAGAAATCAACAACATTTTTGGCTAAGTGCATCTGGACTGGTGGCCCAGGGAATACACCAAAGGGCTCCATGTCACAGGGAAATGACCATGAAGGCTACCTCACTCAAGGCATAATTTATGTACGTTGGGTAAAAGCAAAGTTAAATTCGCCCTCCCCCCTCAACCCTCTCTCAAACACTCAAGTGTGTGCGTGTGTGTGTGTGTGTGTGTGTGTGTGTGTGTGTGTGTGTGTGTGTGTGTGGGTGTGTGTGTGTGTGTGTGTGGGTGTGTGTGTGTGTGTCAGAAAAAGAGCGGGAGAGCGAGAGAGAGCGAGAGAGAGCGAGAGAGAGCGCGAGAGAGAGTGAGAGAGAAGGAAAGAGGGAGAGAGAGGAAGAAAGAAAGAAAGAGAGAGAGAGAGAGAGAGAGAGAGAGAGAGAGAGAGAGAGAGAGAGAGAGAGAGAGAGAGTGAAAAAACGGGGAATGGGTAGATGAGTAAGTGATTGTATGTCAAAAGAAAGCACAAGTCAACCCCCTCCCCCCAAAAAAAGTTCCCGTGCCATAACCATTCCAGGCCAGACACAGAAACAAAGTACAACACACTTTAAACCAAGAAAAAAATATCTGAAATATACAGAACAACTAATAAACAAATTAACTAACCGTTTTATCCAGACTACTTCTGTCTTCAATTTTTAGGAACAGTTAATACACAGGACTATTAGAACGTTGATGACGGGTCGCTACCTTAGAATTACAAAGTTCTATCTCTGACATTTTGGGCCATTTTGAGTTACTAAGACTATGAGATCTGAAACCAAATGTATTATCTGCTCCATCGAAATTGTTAGATTATTCCATGTTACTATCAAGATATTTTAAAAGTTGCATTAAAAAAGAGCTTGACAGTACTTGACACATTGTGAAAGTCAGTTTTTTAACGCCAAATTTCTCAAAACTAAGTACTGAGCAGTTATAGAATTTAGTAATTCTAAGGCAGCGATGTGGTTAGATCGCATGGGGACAGTTTCACACCTTCTCTTTTAAAAAGAGGTTGAAAAAAGGGGAGGGTCTGATTTATCCAATATGCAGGAGAATTCATTCTTTTTTTGTTGCCCAAAATAATGAACTAAACAAGTCAC